CAGCTTGAGGCTCTGTCTCAAAAAAAGAAAAAAAAGAAAGCGTCGTTTGGGCCCTCCGACTTCTGCAGTGTGTACAAAGGCGGCCCGAAAGCTACACTCAGTCTTTAAGCTCATTAACATGTAGGAACATGCACTTCAAAAAGTACCCACGCCAGGCCACGTATGATGAAGGAAAACTGCATAATCCCGAAGGCATTGCCTGGTGCGTCTCCCGCGGGCTCTGAGCCAATGACCGCCCAGGACCGGGGCGACTCTCAGGGAGGCAGTACTGCCGTTTCCTCTCGCGGTGACGTCATCTCCCCGCGCCGCGTCGGTCTTTTGCCTGTCTGGCATGGAGAAGAGGCCGGTTTTTACCAGGCCGCAGCAGGGAGGGCATTGAGGGAGTTGCCTCACTCTCCGCGTGTCCACTAGCCTGATACGTCCGTTCTTCCCTAACGGGTGTCCCCTGGGCGTCTGTCGGGGCCCCAACCTCTGCGCCAGCTCTCCGTCTTTAACAACTCGGACGCGGGATCCTGGGCTTTGTGTGAATTTTTCTCGGGTAAAACTGAGGCTCGGAGTGCGGAAGTCAGCCGACGTCACCCCGTCCGAGACGGAGAAGGGCCAAGGTTCGGTCGAGCCCATCGGATCTTGGGCCCCGCTCGGTCCACAAGGTCCCAGGATGGCAGCGTCTTGGACGGAGCCGGCGCAGGTGAGAGGACGAGGATTCTGGCCTTGGTGCTGCTCTGCTGTTTTGGGGAGGCCTCCTGGGCGGGGTGGGAGCGGAGAAGGCCACTGGGTGTCTCGTTGTTGTTTTTTTATGGGTAGTGGTCGTGGCTTGTTCCTTATTTCATCCGCAGTGCTCCAGCAGCGTCAGGCCTCTGACAGGGGCTCAGTCGGTGGTTCATGGGTGAATGATCCTTCTAAGGGCTCTCATCACATGTGGCATCGATCCGACCTCGTGTTGCCTGCAAGTCCTACCCCGTTTTCCCTGGCCGACCTCTCCTAACCTTGTCCTTCCGTGTCTCCTTGGTCCTTTGCTCTTCAGACACCCATGCAGAGTTCTCTTGCATTTCCCAGCCTTTGTCCTTGCACTTCCGTTTGCCTAAGACGCGATCCTTGTAACTGCATCCTCCGTCTTACATCCTTGTACCCCCTGCTCAGATGTCACCTCTTAGGAGAGGTCTTTTTTAATATCAAGTAAAAGTGGTCCCTTCCCCACAGTCTGGCATTTTTCTGTAGGGAATCTGGCAATATTAAAAACACTTGCTGGATTGTTGCAGGATGTTATAGGAGCAAAGACAAAACAAATAATTAGAAAGAAATGGAGTAGCTGACCTCCATTGAGTCCTTGTTGTGGCCTGATAGACAAGCATTATACATCACCTCATTTAATCTTCAAGTCGTTTTAGTTAGGTTCTTTTGTCATTATTGTCTTACAGAAGAGAAACTTGAGGCCCCTTTCTGAGGTTCAATTACCTACCCTAGATCATTCACTGCAGCTCTTACGTATCAGAAACTAGCAACTTGTATATTCACCAGCACAGTTGATACAGAGTTCTATGGCTGAGGACCAAAGAAACCTTTACAAAATGAGCAGGCCTACTTCCAGCAGGTGGGCTTGAGCAAGTGAGGACATAGTATTTCTGGCAGGTGGAACTGTGTGGACAAAAAAATTGGCATATTGGTTATCTCAGCATTTCCCAGGGGTCCTGTGTGATTTCCTGTTGGTTCTTCCCACCCCCTTACCTGCTGACGCATGTCTTCGGTAGACAAGATCATGTGGTCTTTTGCTGAATGCTCCTTCCTACTCAGCCAGGACGGACATCCTGGCCAGACAGAGTCCATTTTCTCATGGCTATGGCCTGGTATATCCTCTGTGACTCTTTTTCCCTGTTCCTGAAGTGTCTTGGCCTCATGGATACTTGCTGGGAGGACTCAGATAGAAAAAGAAGTGATGGCTCATTGTGGACTCTCTGTGGGTATTTTCCAGAATGAGTATTGAAGGCAATGGGAGCTGGTATAGGCCCTGCCACTTCTGTGGTAGATGCCTCCACCTCAGGTGACTTTTCAGTGAGGTGGGTGATGTTGATTGGGCTCTTCTGTGCATATCCCTGTTTTAGGTTGGCTGAAATGGATGTACAGATTTGTAGTGCTTCACCTCCTCATTAACTGTGAATGAACTTTACTGCTGGAAGAGTGTGAGGGTTATCTGAGTAGAACTCAGACCAGAGGGACTTGAGTTCAACTCCTGCCTGTACTTATAAAACATGTGAATTGAAGTGAACTGATAGTGCTCTTGGGGCTCAGGTCTCTAAGGGTAGTATGGAGGTGATGATACTGTTGACCTTAGAGGCTGTGGCCTTTCACCCCAGTGTTCCTTTACAAACTTTTTAAAGAAAGTCTTTTGGGGCGGTGCCTGTGGTTCAGAGGAGTAGAGTGCTGGCCCCATATGCTGGAGGTGGCATATAAAAAAACCCCAGCCCAGCCCTGGCACCCCCCCCAAAAAAAGTCTTTTGACTGTTCTTAGTAAAGTGAGTAACGCTGTTGTATTGACCTGTAAATTGAGGTTGAGGTTCCCAAGATCACACCAGCAGGCATGTGTTAATTTCAGGATTTTAGTTTTAGCCTGCAGATTTTAGTTTAGTCTGGCTTATAAGCTGGGAACTTTTTGTCACTTTGCCACGGCCTGGAAAGCCTCTGTATGAGGCAGATACAGTGAGGACTGGCAGGTGCTGTTTTTGTTGTTACTGGTATTATAATTTTTTTCCCATTCATTTGATTTCTGAGAGCCCATGTCTTTGCTTCACATTCCACTCTTAATGGTCCTAACTTTTAGTCTCCAATGACTTCCTGCATGGGAGGCTTCTCTCTCTTATACCCTGTGATAATCCATCCAAGATAGGATCTACTTTCTCCTTCAGCCTGGCATAGATCTGAGCCCTCTGGGGCTACTTGATGATTTGGCCCTTGGATCACTATCAGTCTTTTGCATTACTGGAGTGACAGGTTATAATCCTATTCCCCAGACCCAAGGCAAACAGTGCTGCCTCTGTTTGACTTTGTAGGTGTCTGTGACCTTTGAGGATGTGGCTGTGACATTTACCCAGGAGGAGTGGGGGCAGCTGGACTTGACCCAGAGGACCTTGTACCAGGAAGTGATGCTGGAGACTTGTGGGCATCTAGTCTCTCTGGGTAAGTCCCATCCTCTCCACTATGTGGGGCACCTTAAGCATCCTTCATTCTACCCTCTGGCTTCAGGCCTTGCTGGTTGAAAAGGCATCAGGGACCTACTCTTCTGTTAACTCATGTTCTGGACTTTTCTTTCTTTCTTTTTCTTTTTTTTTGAAACAGAGCCTCAAGCTGTTGCCCTGGGTAGAGTGCTATGGTATCACAGCTCACAGCAACCTTCAACTCCTGGGTTCAAGTGATTCTCCTGCCTCCACCTCCCAAGTAGCTGGGACTACAGGCTCCTGCCACAACACCTGGCTGTTTTTTGGCTGTCATTGTTGTTTGGCAGGCCAGGCTGGATTCGAACCCGCCAGCCCAGTGGTATGAGGTTGGTGCCTTAGCCACTTGAGACACAGGCGCCAGGCCTCTTTCTTTCTTTTTTAAGACAAGAGTCTCACCATGTCACCCTCAGTAGAGTGCGGTGCTGTCACAGCTCACAGCAACCTTAAACTCTTAGGCTCAAGCGATTCTCTTGCCTCAGCCTCCCAAGTAGCTGGGACTACAGGTGCCTGCCACAGTGCCAGGCTTTTTTTTTGTTGTTGCAGTTGTTATTGTTAGTTAGCTGGCCCCGGCCAGGTTGGAACCCACCAACTTCAGTGTATGTGGCTGGCGCCATAACCTGTGCTATGGGCGCCGAGCCTGGACTTTTTTTCTGATCTCCTTGTATTTTAGTTACGGAGGTATAAGGAAGAAAGATAGTTTGCCTTTGATAACAGGCAAAGGTGAATAATGTGTTTGGAAGTATTGGAGGGTGTTTTGTGGAAACCAAAGCAGATTTTTCTTTTCTTTTCTTTCCTTTTTTAATAGACAGTCTCACTTTGTCACCCTCGATAGAGTGCCATAGCGTCACAGCTCACAGCAACCTCCAACTCCTGGGCTTAGGCAGTTCTGTTGCCTCAGCCTCCAAGTAGCTGGGACTACAGGTGCCTGCCACAACACCCAGCCATTTTTCTCTCTCTTTTTTTTTTGAGACAGTATCTCACTATGTTGCCCTCGGTAGAGCGCTATGGTGTCATAGCTTACAGCAACCTTTAATTCCTGGGCTTAGGTGATTCTCTTGCCTCAGCCTCTTGAGTAGCGGGGACTACAGGCGTCAGCCACAATGCCCGGCTCCTTTTTGTTGCAGTTTGGCCAGGGCTGGGTTTGAACCCGTCACCCTCAGTATATGGGGCTGGCGCCCTACTCACTGAGCCAGACACCACCCAAGCAGGTGGGACCCTTTGAGGGACTGAGATACATGTAGTAGCTAGGAGGAAGCACAATTGTGCTCTGACCATTCTATATGCCATTAAAAACCTTTGTGATAGGCAGCACCTATGGCTCAAAGGAGTAGGGTGCCAGCCCCATATACCAGAGGTGGTGGCTTCAAACCGGGCCCCAGCCAAAAACTGCAAAAAAAAAAAAAATTGTGATTTAGGCCGGTTGTGGTGGTTCATGCCTATAATCCTAGCACTCTGGGAGGCTGAGGTGGATGGATTGCCTGAGCTCATGAGTTTGAGGCCAGCCTGAGCCAGAGCGAGACCTCATCTCTAAAAATAGCCAGGCATGTGGCAGGTGCCTGTAGTCCACTCTGGGAGGCTGAGGCAAGAGAATCACTTAAGTCCAAGAATTTGAGTAGGTGCCTCCACCTCTTGCTATGAGCTGTGACTCCAAGACACTCTACTGAGGGCGACAAAGTGAGACTCTGTCTCCAAAAAAAAAAATTTTTTTTGTCATTCATGGGAGAAGGTCAAAATATAAACATTAAGAGGAATGTAGAAGAAGTCAGTTCTGATCCTCGTGGATGCCTTTGAAGAGTTCAAGGTTCAGTGGAGGAAGTAATTGCAGATGTGGTAGAAGCAGCAAGAGAACTAGACTTAAAAGTAGAACATAAAGATGTGAAACTTGAATGGATAAGAAATTGCTTCTGCCTGGAGCAAAGAAAGTCGTTTGGTCATTTGGAATCTATCCCTGGTGAAGATATATGAATATTTTTGAAATGACAACAAAGAATTTAGACTGCTGCATAAACTTAGTTGATAAAGTAGCAGGAAGGTTTGAGAGGGTAACTACCATTTTGAAGTTTTACTGTGGGTCAGATGCTGTCAAACAGCATCACATGCTACAGAGAAATCTTTTGTGAAAGGGAGACTGAATTGATTCCGCAAACTTTACTGTTTTCTTATTGTAAGAAACTGCCAGAGGCACCCCAATTTTCAACAGCATCACCCTGATCAGTCAGCAGCCATCAACATGAAAGCAAGATCCTCCACTAGTGAAAAGAATAACTCACTTAAGGCTCAGATGAGCATTGTAATTTCTTAGCAATAAAGTATTTTTTTCTTTCTTGGAGACAGAGTCTCCCTGGTGTGCAGTGGTGTAGTCCTAGCTTACTGCAGCCTAAAACTCCTGGGTTCAAGCAATTCTACCCCATCAGACTTCCTAGTAGTTTGCACTACAGGTATGAGCCACTGTGCCCACAATAAATTTTATTTAATTAATGTGTATACATTTTTTTTATAAGACAACAATGCTACTGCACACTTAATAGACTACAGCATGGCATGAATATAACTTTTACTTGGAAGACAGTAACTTCATTTTAAGGTCTTTTCCATACTGAAGTCTCAGACTAGACCGAGAGTTTCCATCTTCCACCCAAAGTCCATGTGTCTTCTTTTGTTCTCCGTGCACAGGTTGTCCTCTGTCCCAACCAGAGTCAATCTGCAAGGTGGAGCACAGCGAGGACTTAACAGCAGTGGAGGAAGATCTCTCCCAAAGTTTCTGTGCAGGTAGGAGCCAACAGCTGGGAAGGTTGGGGTGATGACAGCTTGAAGACAGAAAGATGAACACTGCCTCTGGATTTTGTTGGAATCTTCCTGTTGCAGCCTGTCTAGGGGCTCATCCATAGAACCATTTAACTTGTGCTCTCTCTGCCCTCCACCCTGCTTAGCCCCATCACACTCTTCACGGCTTCTACATAAGTTTATGATCTTGGCCCTAACTGCTTGGGTTTTATTTTTTATTTATTTTTATTTTTATTATTATTTTTTTTTTTTGTAGAGACAGAGTCTCACTTTATCATCCTGGGTAGAGTGCTGTGGCATCATACAGCTCATAGCAACCTCCAACTCCTAGGCTTAGATGATTCTCTTGCCTCAGCCTCCCGAGTAGCTGGGACTATCGGCGCCCACCACAATGCCCAGCTATTTTTTTGTTGCAATTTGGTCAGGGCTGGATCTGAACCTGCCACCCTCCGTATATGGGGCCCATGCCCTACCCACTGAGCTACAGGCGCTACCCAACTGCTTGGGTTTTAAAACAAGCTTTAACATAAAACAGCTTGTGTCCCTGGGGAAGCTGCATGATCTTGGCCTTTGTATGTAAGTTGAGCCATGTTAAATCTAACTGCTCTAACACACATACTGAAGAATTTTGGTGTTTTGGAATACGGAAACTGTTTTGGTCAGCAGTGACTTCTATGCTATGTTTTTATTCAGAGACCTGGGTGCCTTCTGTCATCAGCATGAGGTGTTAAGTCTTCCCTGGCATCCCCCAGCTGGTAGCAGGGGAGCGAAAGAAGGGAACATAGTACACCCACTTCCACACACATTACTTCCCTTCACATTCCAGTGATAAGACTTTTGTCACACTTGGGTGTATGGGGCTGGGAATGTGGATGCTGAAGAAGAAGAGGAAATGGTTCGATGAACATCTGCTCAGTCCACTGTGCTCAGTCTGTTTCTAAAGAATTATAGTAATAATATTTTATATGTCATCTTGTTTGAAGATGCAGTAGATTATACATGAATCTGTTTCTGATCCAGTGTGAGTAGCCCAGTATAAGTAAGCTATAACATGGCTAAGCCGTGATGTCAGCCATTATGATGATATAGCTTATATTTCCTCTGCCCTCTGAGGAACAAGGCCTTTCTAAGGACAACTGACCTTTGATCTACATGGGTTTGTATTGTACAGGTTCACTTATAAGTGAGGTTTTTTTTCAGTAAATATACTGGAAAATGTTTTGGAGATTGCAATAATTTGAAAAACTTACAGATGACCTGTATAGTCAAGAAATACGGAAAAAATTAAGGAAAAGGTATGTCGTGAATGCACAGATTGTATGTAGATACTAATCTATATGTTATCATTTACTACCTCAAAATATACTAAAGTTTATTATAAATAGGTAAAATGTTATCAAACCTTAGGTATATAATCTGTACATGATACGATTTAGAGAGAAATGTACATAATCATAGATGTAGTGTTAGATCACAGCTGTGTAAATTAACTGTAGTACATATTGTAGTGTAATAATTAGCATTGAACTGAAGGTGCAGCACAAACTTCAGATTTTCTTTTTTTTGAAGACAGAGTCTCACTTTGTTGCCCTCTGTAGAGTGCTGTAGTGTCATAGCTCACAGCAACCTCAAACTCTTGGGCTCAAGCCATTCTCTTGCCTCCCAAGTAGCTGGACTACAGGTGCCAGTCACAATGCCTGGCTATTTTTAGAGACAGGGTCTTGCTCTTGCTCAGGCTGGTCTGGAAACTGTGAGCTCAAGCAATCCAACTGTCTCAGCCTCCCAGATTGTTGGGATTACAGATGTTAGCCACCATGCCTGGCCTTTTTCAGATTTTCTTGAGCTTGAGTATCTGGCCCTTTTAGATTCTCTTTCCTATTATTTCTAGATTTACCATTCTGTTCTTACTCTGATATTCACTTGAATGTTGGCTTGATTAGGTGTCTCGCAGCCCATTTTTACTTATTACTATTAAATATTCTCTAATGTTAATTCACACATTCTTTTTTCTTTTTTTTTTTTTTTTGAGACAGAGCCTCAAGCTGTCCCCCTGGATAGAGTGCCGTGGCATCACAGAAACCTCCAACTCCTGGGCTCAAGCGAGTCTCCTGCCTCTGCCTCCCAAGTAGCTGGGACCACAGGCACCAGCCACAACGCCTGGCTATTTTTTTTTTTTTTTTTTTTTTTGGTTGCAGCCATCTTTGTTGTTTGGTGGGCCTGGGCTGGATTTGAACCCGCCACCTTAGGTGTATGTGGCTGGCGCCTTAGCCACTTGAGCCACAGGCGCCAAGCCAATTCTACTTTCAAGTAGGTTCCCAGATGTCTATTCTTTGAGTAGCCAATAATAAAAAATGGTAGCTAATATGCATTGGCTTCCTACTCAGAGGTGCCTGGCTCTGTGCTGAGCATGGATATACAGTGTTTCATTTCTTCTTCATCTTTATCAGGCAGAGACTATGTTTAGCTTTGTTTTCTTAGCAGATTACTTGGAGTTTTATGACATCTTTTTTTTTTTTGCAGTTTTTGTCCGGGCTGGGTCTGAACCTGTCACCTATGGTAGATGGGGCCAGTGCCCTTACTCTTTGAGCCACAGGTGCCACACAGAGTTTTATAACATTTTCTGTGGCTTACTGAGTGCCGCAAAAACAGCTAATACTGAATTCTGCTGGATCTATGATTTTTGTTGTCTTAAACCATTGTATTCACACAGCCTCTAACTTTTTTTTTGAGACAGCTTCAAGCTATTGCCCTAGGTAGCTCTTGGGCTTAGGTAATTCTCTTGCCTCAGCCTCTCGAGTAGCTGGGGCTACAGGTGCCCACCACAACGCCTGGCTATTTTCTTGTTGCAGTTTGGCTGGGGCTGAGTTTAAACCCACCACCCTCAGTATATTGGGTCAGCGTCCTGCTTACTGAGCCACAGGCACCGCCCATACTTTTTTTTTTTTTTCACTTTTTGGCCAAGGCCAGATTTGAACCTGCCAACTCTAGTATATGGGGCTGGCGCCCTACTCCTTTGAGCCACAGGCGCCGCCCCTCACCTGCTTTGTATCCTCACCAACCCATCTCTCATGGGCTAACATCCTCTCACTGCAGTTCCCTTTATTCTCTGAAGACTCTGCCTTTGTACATTTATTTCCTAAGGCAGAAGCTTCCTTTCCAACTTCTCTAGATGGCAGCTGCACCTCTCCTTTAGGACTCAGCTCATGAGGCACAACTTCTGGGAAGCATGGCTGACCTTTTCATTTTTCCCATCTTGGCTGCATTAGGTGCTCCACGTTCCCCAGCCTCCCTAGTACCTTGACATGTTTTTGCTTTGAGTAAATTCCTCACATACAGTGTCATTCTTATTATGTTCACTTAGCCCAGTCTTGACTGTGAGCATGGTTCTGTATTCCAGACTGTCTGTCCTCTGTCTCAGCCTCTTCCTCTGGGTTTTCCTTTAAAAGTATCAAGAGTTCAAGTGTGGCTTGGCACCTGAGCTCAAGTGGCTAAGGTGCCAGCCACGTACACCTGAGCTGGTAGGTTCAAGTCCAGCCTGGGCCAGCCCAACAATGATGGCTGCAACCAAAAAATGGCCAGGCATTGTGGCGGGCGCCTGTGGGCCCCGCTACTTGGGAGGCCGAGGCAGGAGACTTGCTTGAGCCCAGGAGTTGGAGGTTGCTGTGAGTGTGATGCTACAGCACTCTACCCAGCGTGACAGCTTGAGGCTCTGTCTCAAAAAAAAAAAATGAATTCAAGCACCAAAGATAAATTGTAAACCTGGATTTTAGGATGCAAATCATAGCTATTTTCAAGTAATCACTATTTTCATTTGTTCTTTTTTTAGCAAATAATGGAGGTTTTATTGAGAAAGAAAGATTTACAGAGTAAGAGCTAGCTATAGGCTTTTAGAGCAAGATACATTCACCACAGACAGCAATCCGGCCCCCATTGTCGTAACAAGGAAAAAGCAAAGAGGCTCATCTTATTCTCACTAAATGGGGATTTCATTTCTTCCGTGTGCCCATCCTTAATAAGCCCTTTTGTTGTATTTCCTTCAGGTGATAACACCAAACCCATGACCTCAGAGCATGCCCTTCTTCACCTAGACATGCCTGAGGAAGTCTCACTCCAGGAACAACTGACACAGGGAACCTCATGGGACCCCCAGCTGGGAGAAGCCCAGGATCAGGATGTGTCACTTGAAATGCAGGAAGTCCACTGGAGACCAGAAATGGACCCAGAGAGAGAGAAGCTGCCTTGGAAAATGAGCCCTGAGCATGATGTTTTAGGGACAGATAATGGTTTATGTTCAATGATTATACAGGAACAAGTCTCTCCGGAAGGTGGTCTCTGGGTATGTGACTCCTGTGGAGCAGTTTCATATCCCCTAATTCATGAAGGGGAAAATTCTTATAAATGTGAGGAATGTGGGAATGAGTTTAACAAAAATTGGCTCCTTTTTCAACATGAGCAGATTCACATTCGAGTAAAGCCCTATGATTGCACAGAATGTGGGAAAGCCTTTAGCAAGAGCAAACACCTCCTTCAGCACCACATCATCCATACAGGGGAGAAGCCCTACCGGTGCCTGGAGTGTGGGAAGAACTTCAATCGCAGGTCTCACCTTACACGACACCAGCAAATTCACTCTGGAGAGAAGCCTTTTGAATGTAGTGAGTGTGCAAAGGCCTTCAACCGTAGGTCACACCTTACACGGCACCTGCGGATTCACTCTGGAGAGAAACCTTATGTGTGCAATGAATGTGGAAGGGCCTTTACCTACCGCTCCAATTTTGTTTTGCATAGCAGGATCCACACTGGAAAAAAACCCTTTGAGTGCAGTGAATGTGGGAAAGGCTTTTGTGAGAGTACAGATCTCATTCAACACTACGTCATCCACACTGGGGAGAAGCCCTATAAGTGCATGGAGTGTGGAAAGTCCTTCAACTGCAGGTCACACCTCAGGCAGCACCAGAGGATTCACACTGGGGAGAAGCCTTATGTGTGCAATGAATGTGGAAGGGCCTTCACCCACTACTCCACTTTTATCCTGCATATACGGGCCCATACTGGAGAAAAACCTTTTGATTGCAAAGTATGTGGAAAAGCCTTTAGCATTGGGAAAGATCTTATTCGCCACTTCAGCATCCACACTGGAGAGAAGCCCTATGAATGCCTAGAGTGTGGAAAGGCCTTTACCCGCATGTCGGGCCTTAGGAGGCACCAGCGGGTTCATACTGGAGAGAAGCCTTATCAGTGCATCGAGTGTGGGAAAGCCTTTTGTCGGAGCACAAACCTTATTCGACACTTTAGCATCCACACTGGAGAGAAACCATATGAGTGTGTGGATTGTGGGAAAGCTTTCAACCGCAGGTCACCCCTTGCAAGGCATCAGCGCATTCACAATGGAGAAAAGCCCTATCAACGCATCAAGAGTCAGAAAGTTTCTTGCCAGAGTGAAAACCTCATTCAACACTCCATCATTCACACTGAAAGTAGTCCTATGAATGCAGTGAAAGTGGAACAGCCTTCAGACGAAGCTCATTCCTCTCTCTGCATCGAAGGGTGTGTGCTGGATGAAACCCTACCAGTGTAACAGACATGGGAAGACCTTCTACAAGTGTTCAAACTTCAATCAACATACAAGAACTCTGTTAGGGAAATATTTTTTAGTATAACTATTGAAGAAAATCTGTGGTGAAAGGAAACTTCTTACTCAACATCTGGCCATGCCATTCACACTGAAGAGAAACTTCTTAAGTGCTATTTTTATGGAAAACCTGTTGGAGATCCTCAATTGCCATCTAAAGAATCATATTAGAAATTGACCCAGCCTAGAGTCTTATGTGTCTGAGAATTCACCATTGAGAGAGATCTAGACCTTTGGCAGCCATAGTTGGAAGTGTCCGTAATGTTAACTCCAAAATTGCCATGGCACAGCCAGATGCAGTGTGTCATACCTGTAATAGCAGCATCTTGGGAGGCTATGCCAAGATGATAGCTTGAGGCCAGGATTTCAAGACTAGCCTGGGCAACATAGTAAGACGCTATCTCTACAATAAATAAGGAATATTAGCCAAGTATAGTGGCATGTGCCTGTAGTCACAGCTACTTGGGATGCTGAAGCAGGAGTGCTAGGCTGCCATGAGCTGGGATCACACCACTGCACTATATCCTGGGTTACAGCATAAGACCCTGTCTCAAAAGAAAATTGTTACAGCACGGAAACAGGTTTTTTCTAAACTTACACATAGGAAAACATTCAGCCACATCTTAAGTTACAGTGAAATGTTATCTCAGGTATACTTTTTAAAAAAGAGGAGGAGACACAGAAAAGAAAGAAATGGGAGCACACCTTTCAGACTTCCTGACAAGCCCATGGCAATTTGTCATTATTTTATTTGAGGAGAGAGAAATGTTTTCGAAACAAAAGGGCCTTGTCCTCTTTTATTTTTCCCTGTATACATTCACTGCTGTCCAGTGTTGGTACAGTTTGACAAATGAGGTTACTTTTGAAAACACTTTGTGAAAACCTGGTTTGTTCCACAGCATTATATCTAACCTTGAGAAGCAAGAGCATAAGTCTGTATGAGCAATATGGAGGCTTGTGTTATGAAATAATTTTATCTTTAAGGAGATAGGATGTACATATGAATGGACATAATTAATTAAGTGTAATTACCAATCACACTTAAGACTGATTTTTAAAAAGCAAATTGTTTCTCCCTGTGTCTTTAACCATTCAGTACATATACTTTTCCTTTCTTTCTTTCTTTTTTTT